TATACTTTGTTTTACTTCCTAGTTCTATTTATTATTTTTCTTCTCTTAAAAGTTTATTGCATTATGGGATCATAGATTTAGAGTTTGAAAGAACGTTAAAGACCATCCAGCCCAATTCCCTCATTTATCCAAATAAAGAAACTGAATCACAGAAAGACAGTAAATGACCTGCCCAGGGTCAAAAAACTAGTAATTGTCAGAAGCAAGATTTGAACCCAGGTCTTCCTGACTCCAAATCTAGTGTTCTTTTCAGTTAAACCACAAGTCACAGCAACAGATCTCAATACCAACAAAACCAAAATGGATTATTTCAAGCTTTCCTGTTGTTGTTGGTTTGTTGTTTATTTGTTTTTTTGTTTTTTCCCTGAATGAAGTCTTTAGGTCATTGCAGGGCTGAACTACATCATCCCAGTTAAGAGAAAGATTTTTTTTCTCTATGCAGAATTTCACCCTGCCTCTGCCACACAGTACACCCCATCAACACGCCGAACCACAAGCCTCTTCTACTAAAAGGAAATCACTGGTCATGTTGTTTACCTAAAAAAAAAAAAGACAAGAAAATGGCTCCTTGAAAGTAGTGATTAGAATTCTTAAACATATATTAATTACACACAGTAATGAGTTGAAAGTTAGAAGTTAGAGTATTCTGTTATTTAAAATATCACTATAATGCAATCCTTTCTGAAGGGGCTGCTTTCTCTATCTTTCTGCTCCAGGCTAAATATTGCTCAGATTCCAACAAGGCCAGGCATTTTCTCACCAATTATCCCAAAGTTCCAAGGAACGATACTTACATCAAAGCAGAACCTAACGAAAAAGGACACCTGATTGCTAAATACACAGGCATCTCTCAGTTCTCCCCTTCTTTCGCCTTTTGAAAAAACAAAACAAAACAACACAACACTATTTTCATCTTAGTCTCAACATAACAAAGGACTAATTGATGAGGGCTTTTTTTTCCATCCTTCAAAAATAAATTGAGTCAGCCACACATGCTCATCTAGAGGAATTAATTAGTGAACAGGAAATCTCTGGAGCCATCCTTAAATTGAGATTGAACAAAGCCTATGGTCCAGATGGCTTTTCATCTGAATTCTTTAAAAAAACCTTTAGCACTCTGCTAATTCCCCTACAATACTGAAAACTTAGCTAAATTAATATGAGCAAGCTAATTCTCCAGGTGTTCAGTTCCCCCAAGGCTTGCACTGCTCTATCAGAAAAGCCCAATAGCTGTCTTCTAGACAGATATTGTTATAAATTCAATTGTTAACGTGAAACTCCTCCCCCCTCACTAGCCCCAAATGTTCATTCTAAACCTCTCCAACATTTCTGGCAACCAGGCTGGAGAGTTATTCCCTTAATTGGTTCAGCTGATTATGTAGGATTTTTCAGAGCACAATGGCTGTGTCAACACTCACAAAATGAAGTTCAAAACTGAGGCCATTATCCAGGTTATTCAAGCAAAAAAGGAAAGAAAACATTGTTGCCTCAGTTAATCTGGATAGTCCAGGGAAACATGGTTGGAAGGTAGAGATAGTGGGGAGGGGAAAATACAATATTGATGCATCCAGATAATGGCTTCAATTCTCCAATTCCCATTACATGTGCAGACAGCAAAAGTTTGGTCTCAGCTTAAATGACCTAAAAGGGGGTCAAAATTGTCACCAGATAAGGTACCATTAATAGCTCTGGCTAGGAGGAGAATTGAGGTGGATTGTTTTTACTTTTTCATTGTATCCTAGCCCTAAGCATAGTTCCTGGCACATAGTAAACACTTAATCAGTGAATTTCAAGCAAGGGATAGAAGTGATGCCATAAAACAAACTAGATAATTTTGATTACCTAAAGTTAAAAAGCTTTTATATGGGAAAAATGTAATTAGGATAAAAAGAGAAGAAGTAAATTGGAAAATATCTGTTTAAAATACTTTTGATAAGGGTCTAATAATGCAGATATACAGTTATGGAGACTGAATCTATACTTTTATTGGTCCATGGGACTCTTGGGTGAGGAGGCTCCCTCTATTAGTACAGATCAGCAGTCCCTTCTCTATGACGTAGTCTTAAAGAGCTGCCCAAGTCATCAAGAAGTTAAGTGTCCAGGTTCATATAGCCAGGATGTGTCAAAGATGATACTGAAAGTCAGATCTTCCTAATTTTCCCAGGTTGCTATCCGCCATACTGCCTTACATCACTAAGATATGGAAAGAACTAACACAAATACATAAGATCAAAACCTACTCCCCAATGGATAAATGGTCAAAAGACATGAACAAACAGTTCTCAAAAGAAGAATTGTAAGCAATTACAATCATATGGAATATTGTCCAAATCATTACTAACAGGAGAAATGCAAATCCAAATAATTCTAAGGTTTCACCTCACCATCATGAAATTGGCAAATATGACAGAATATGGGAATAATCAATGTTGGAGGGCTTTTGGACAGAGAAATAAGGAAACGAGGGAACAAACATGCATTAAGCCCTATTTGCCGGTCATTGTAACCCATCATTTAGTATAGCTCCTGGCATATAGTAAACACTTAATAAGTGGATTTCAAACAAAGGATACAATTGATCCCACAAGACAAACTAAATAATTTTGACTACTTGAAGTTGAAAAGCTTTTGTATGAAAAAAAATGCAATTAGGATAAAAAGGGAAGCAGCATATTGGGAAAATATTTGTATGAAATATCTCTGATAAAGGTCTAATATTATATATATAGATGGATGGGACTGGAACTATAATCCTTATTTGTTTTAAGTGCTAGAGATGAATAAAAGCCAAAAAATAAAAATAAAAAGATAATCCCTGCCCTCGAGCTTACATTCTAACGGGAGAAGACAACACAGAAGAAGGACCTGAGAATCTGGGTAGATAGAAGACATGTACTCAACACAGGGGAATGGTAATGAAATAAGACTAGGAAGGGGAAGCAGGTCCCAGAGGTCCCGGGAGGAACTCACCAGAGGGGAAAGAAGGCAGATCTTACAAACAGCTATTCAAGTTGAAGAGATCAACAGGTTGCTTGAATGTTCCCGGGCAAGAAGGCCTCAGGCACTAAGGGAAGTGCCACAGCAGACAGTGACAGAGCCATGGTTTTGGTCCAGAAACTAGTAATGGAGCAGGGAGGAAAAGGAAAAGAATCACACGAAGACACTCTAGGTGGAACTGATTTGTCCCAGTGAGTCTTGAAAAGTAATTTGTATTCTTACTTAGGGGGAAAAAAAAACTAAATGTCCATACCCATTGATTCAGATATTCCTTTGGTAGGTATATACCTCAAAGAAGGATATATTGAGAAATGTAGGTGATGTAGAAACAAAAGCTATCAGTAAAAAAAAAAAAGCAGTTACAGAACACATGGAGGAGGGGAGGGAATTGAGCACGTGGAAGAGGGAAATGCTGTTTATCCATTACAAATTTAGAATCAGTTGAAATGCTATGACATCATGAAAATCAAATACATATAGTGCACCAAATATAACAGATACTTTCTATTTATTGTGGATTTTCGTCCACCTTGGAATTACGGTCCTTAGGGATCTAGTAGAAAAAAAACTAATTCCTTTTTTCCATGAAAACCTTTCAAATACTTAAAGACAGTTATCATGTTCCCCCAAGTTCTATCTTCTCTGGGCTAAATATTCCTTCTTCCTTTAATAAATCTTTATACATTATATTCTCCAAACACCCTCCCCCACTTGTTTGTCTTTATTTGTAACACCTCTAGCTTCTTTGGGTCTTTCTTAATCTGTGGTGACTGGTACTTAAGGTAATGCATGAGATTTAGTTCAGTTAGGCCAGAATATAATATCAAAATCATCATCCTTTTTCTGGACACCATGATCTTATAACAGTATTACTTATCCTTGCCTTACTAATTTAATATTCTTGGGGAGAGATAAAGTTAATACATGAAACAGGAAGCAATGAAAAGTAATATGCAATAAAGAACTAAATTGTATGGTATAGATAATAAAGGTTAAGTCCAGAGAAATGGGAGCCCAATGAGGTCTAGAATAAATAAGAAACAGTGCATGGATAATGTTAAATTAGAACTAGTTTTGAAAAAGTAGGGTTTGGTTAAAGAGGGAGAAAATTCTAGATCAAGGAAAAAGACAATGAAAGGAACCAAAGTGATAATACCCCCAGTGAAGTCAAAGACAAGGAAAGGTCCCCTGAATGAAAAAAAATTTATAACAGCAGTTTTTATGGTAGCAAAGAACTAGAAAAATATTCATCAACTGGAGAATGACTAATCAGACTGTGCTATGAATGTAATGGAATATTACTGTACCATAAGGACTCAGAAAAATTTGAGAAGATTTGTATGAGCAGATGGAGAAAAAAAAAGTCAGTACAACCATAACAGTTTATACAATGACTACAACAATGTAAAGGAAAACAGCATTGAAAGACTTTAGGACTGTGATGCACATAGTAACCAATGGTGAGTTCAGAAGACAGAGGACAAAACATATCTCCTATCATTTGGCAGAAATATGGTAGACTACAGTCACAGGATGTGGCATGGTTTTCAGTCATGGTCAATATATATGTTTTGCTTGAATATACTTATCTAATACACGTGAGACTAAGTGGCAGGGAAGGGACTGAGGGCAGGTTGTCACAGGGAAGTGATAGTGATACAAAAAAAATCGGACATAAATTTTTAAAATAATTAGAAAGGAACTAAGAGGTATATCATAGAGGGTTATGGGTGGGATCAGATACTGGAAGGCTTCAGAAACCATTTGGAGAAGTCCAGGATGATTTAGCTGTGGCTGCTTACAAACCATCCCCTATTAAGTAAAGACAGTGGGGGTTTTTATTGCCCCTTCCAACTCTGATTCTATTTAATTCAGCTTGACAGATGACATTAAGAGAAGAGGAACTGACAAAAGGACAACAGCTTTCAAAACTATTTCTCTGTACGAAAATATTTTCTAATTCTACCTTGGGAACGATGTTTAAGAAAGTATTTGGACAATGGAACATTTTGTTTTATTTTATTTTGTTTTGTTTTCCATCCAGGTATTGTCTGCTAAACATAAACTTGGGGGGCAGAAGTTGTACAGTTTAATGTAATTTTCATACTTGAGCTAATGATATGCATGTTCAGTGTTTGTCTTTCCAATCTGCTGGCCAGACACCTGGTCTTACAACTGATTATGTGTTGGGTCTTGAACATCATCCCTGTCACTGAGTGCATTGTGTTTAAAGGGAATTTTGCCACAACTTACACAGCACACTAAGACTAGAATGCTAGGAAGAACCTGGTCTGAGTATGACCTCCATTAGAAAAAAAAATCCCCCCAAATAATTTAAGAAGCAGATTTGTCAGAGTGACTTCTTTCTGGGGGGAGATTCTGCTGACTCGGCGGCCCAGCTTCATGGGGGAAGTGGTTCCCCAACATGCCCAACTCCATTTCCTGAACTTTACCATTCCTAGGTAATTACTATTCCAAAAGTATCTGCAACTATTTAAATTTTTCCCCAAGAAATGACAAAAATGCTTTCAAGTGAGACCCTGCAATAATAAAGCAGTTGCAGGTCCTTACAAGGAACGTATTTTGGGGGGATTCTCTGTCATGCTTTATTTATTTTCATTACATGTCGTGAACCACAATCTATTTTCATTGTACCCTCAGAACCAAATTTTCTGCCTGGTAGTGAGAACTAACGTCAACATGGTGGGAGAGAGTTCTACTGGTGATGAATTTCAAATGACTATTTCATAGCCTCCCGAGCAGCCTATAGTTTTGTTGGCGCTTTGTTTTTTTCTCTCTATATACCATACCTCACACAGAAGTCTCATATGCACAGTAAAATGCCCATTAACAATGGAATCCAAAATTCCCAACCAGCACCAGATTGTCAAAACTATGTACATACTGTAACCATGAGAAACTCAGGAAGACAGATGTCAACTTGGAATTTGTTAACCACTTTATCCAAACTCATCACTAGCTTATTTGTTTGTTCATGTCAAATAAAATAGCTCATGTTGGTGCTTACCCCTGCTGCTCTATGCTATGTAGACCCTTGGGAAATACTGAATGTTCAGAGGTGCTAAGGTATTTATTCTATAGTGAAATAAAGAATATTTATACAACTTTGTTTTATTTTACTGGTACTTCCTTCTGGGTTTATATTGGGGATTATATTAATGGTGGGTCAGCTTGATACTAATTGAATGTGAATCATTTCTATTTTAAGAAGTTCTATATAATTAAAAGAAGTGACAGGGGGAAGTGACACTTTGGGACCGTGCTGAAGGTTTGTTTTAATAGGCATTATTGAAGGGCTCTCTCAGCCTCATCGGCCAGCCCCATGAAAGACTTGTAGCTAAGATATTCATCATACTCTTAAAAAGAAGCGACTTAACATCTTGACATCACCCACAATTTTGGAGCCCCCAAAAAGTATTCCCAGCAGCTTAGTCTTCTCCTGTACACACCCCAGAATGTGTCATAAAAGTGGTGATAACTCATGGAAAATCATAATGCTAGGAAAACAAAGATGATGAATGCCATCATTGCAAGGAGAAAGAACAGTGTCTGTTGGTTTTGAAATCCATCTCTCTACCTGCCTTGTGGGCAGATTTGAAAAGCCGAGAGTTGTATGCTTCTAGACATTTATGGATATCCTTCAGTTTTGCAACTGGCCGCAAACCACATGGCCTTGAAACTTCAACCATCATAGATTTGGCCGGACAATCCGTTCAGAGAATGTTTCAGACCATTGACGTCAACAAACACCGTATGCTGGGGCTTTGGTTAGTTCTCTTGTAAAGAAGATTCTCCAATACATTGCTCACTCCTCTGTCATGGGAGACCAGCACGTCACTCTTCCTGGACATGTGAAAAAGGAAAAATCCCATATTAATTTTCTACAAGATTGAACAGTACAACATTTCTTTGGAATTGTTAATTATGGGATAGAAAACCATATGGTTTGGATGATATAAAGTAGAAGAAGCTGGACAAAATGAATCCGAGGTCAATTAAAATGTACACTTCATTGTACCCTTGAAAATTAGACACTCTCAGTGTCCTACCTGTAAGCCTGCCATCATTATTACTCTATAGGTATATTATTCACCTTGGGCTTAGGCTGCAACTATACATAAAATAAATATTTGTTGATTTTAAGGATCTAAGAGAATATAACCTCCTTGAGGGCAAGTATTTCATTTTTTTTCTTTCCATCTCCAGTATCTATCGGAGAACCTGGCTGATAGTAAATGCTTAATAAATGCTCAGTAATTGATGAGGATCAAAAGTAGTGGTCCTGCAGTATTAATTACCAAAATTCCCTTGTCATCCTTCTTTATATAATGTGCTAATATGATTTAAGTTGTCTAGTTGGGGTCTCAGCATTTTCTGTTCATGTTTCAGAAGTTCCAGTTGGAAAAATCTTGTCACCTTAATGGGCCATTTATATTATGCTTATTTCTGGTTCCAAAATCTTTCCTTCCCTCCAACCTCTCCCCTACCCATTGAAAAAGGCAAGAAATATAATTCCATACATATATATGTGTGTGTATACATATATGGATATATATGTGTGTCTATATATATATATATATATATATAGTCATGCAGAACGTATTTCCACACTTATGTTGCAAAAGAAAAAAAAAGCAAGAAAAATAAAGTAAAATAAATCATGCTTGGATCTGCACTCAGAGTTCATCAGTTCTGCTTCTGGTGATGGATAGTATTTTTCATCATGACTCCATTGGAACTCCATGGATCACTGTATTGATCAAAGTAGCTAAGTTTTTCACATCTGATTGTTGTTACCATATTGTTGTTATTATATACAATGTTCTAGTTCTGCTTACTTCACTTTGCATACAATCACATATGTATTCTCAGGTTTTTATGAAACCATCCTCTATCATTCCTTACTGCACAGCAGTATTCCATACTCACATACCACAGCTTGTTCAGCCAATCCCCAACTGATGGACATCCCCTCAGTTTCTAATTGTTTGCTGCCATAAGAGGAACTACTAAGTGGCACAGTGGATAGAACACCAATTCTGGAGTCAGGAAGACTCATCTCCCTGAGTTCAAATCTGGCCTCAGCCACTTACCAGCTTTATGACCCTGAGCAAGTCACTTAACTCTGTTTGCCTCAGTTTCCTCATCTGTAAACTGAGCTGAAGAAGGAAATGGCAAACAACTCCAATATCTTTGCCAAGAAACCCCCAAAATGGGTCACAAAGAGTCAAATATGATTGAAAAAAGTGACTGAACAACAATAAATATTTTTGCACATATGGATCCTTTTCCTTTTCCTCTGATCTTTTTCAGGGTACAAATTAGTAGTGGTATTATCAGGCCAAAGGATATGCATAGTTTTATAGCCCTTTGGACATAGTTCCAAATTGTTCTCCATAATGGTCGTACTAGTTCACAACTCCATCAACAATACATTAATGTATTATTTTTTCACATCCCCTCTAACATTAGTCATTTTCCTTTTGTCATGTTAGCCAATCTGATAGATGTGAGGTAGTACCTCAAGGCAGTTTTAATTTGCATTTCTCTAATTATTAATGATTTAGAACATTTTAATATGACTAAGGATAGCTTTGATTTCTTCTGAAAGCTGCCTGTTCATATCCTTTGACTATCAATTGGGAAATGGCTTTTTTTTTAAATAAAATCATCTCAGTTCCCTATGTATTTGAGAAATAAGGCATTTATCAAACTTGCTGTAAATTTTTTTTTGCAGTTTTCTGCTTTCCTTTTTTTAAAGTTTTGTTGCATTGATTCTGTTTGTACAAAATTTTTTATTTTAATGTCATCAAAATCATCCATTTTACCTTCCATGATCCTCTCTATCTTGTTTAATCATGAACTCTTCCATTATCCATAGATCTGACAGGTAATTTTTTTCCAGGCTTAGTAATTTGTTTATTTTTATATAATATTTTATTATCCCCCAATTACATATTATAATACTTTTTAAACATTTTTTTAAAGTTTTAAGCTCCAAATTTTATTTTTCTCTCCTTCTCTACCTTCCTCCCTGAGGTGGTAAGCAATCAGATATAGGTTATACATGTGCAATTATGTAAAACATTTCCATATTAGTCAGTTTTTACAAGAAGACTCAAATAAAAAAATCATGAATGAAAGAACCTAATTTGATTATGATATTACCTTTTATGTCTAAGTAATATACCCCATTTTGAGTTTATGTTGATATACAGTGTATGATAAGTCTATGCTTAATTTCTATTAGATGGTTTCTCAATTTTCCCAGAAATTTTTATCCAATAGCATTTTCATTTTTTAAAATCCTAAATCCAGTACCTTATAAGAAAGCCAAAAAAGAAAAAAGAAAAAGAAAAAAAGTAAGTTTTAACAAGTTTATTGGGCAAGTCAATCAATCAACAAATATGTTTTTTTAAGCTCCTCATCTGTGCTAGATACTAGAAGTGGGAAAAGTATTATATCATTAGTTATCTTTCTATGCATGTATGCCTTCCAAGAACTTACAAATCTTATTGGGAAGAAAAGACATAAGCATACACACAAAAGGATAACAATATATGTCATAGTTTACATTCATTTCTGTCCTTTAATATTCATAAGGTCATTCACATACATAATATCATCTTCATCACAACCCTCTGATATAGTGCAAGTATTATTACCCACATTTTATAAATGGGGAAAAACATTCTGAATTACTTGCTCAAGGTCACATAGTTAGCTGGGACAAAACCCAAATCTTCTAATTCTTAATCTAGTCATCTTTTTACTATATCATACTAAGTAAATGTTAAGTGACAGTTAAGGGACATCCATCTCCTCAAAAGTCAGAACAACTAGGAGGTCTATAAGACACATGGGGTGTTAAAACTTTTTTTCAAAAATTCACTCCACATCAAGTGAAAGAGTATAAAGTAGATATGTGGAAGGGAATTTGATAAAAACTTTCCAGTCATTCTCAACAGAAAAAGCTGTTCAATAATTTCTTATAATTAATTTGTTTAAGGAGGTTCCTTAATTTAAATTTCTTATTTAAGAAGGTAAGTTTTCTTTCAGTGGCATGAACTACAGTCATTTTTTTGTGGTCCTGATTTTCTGTATGAGAAAAATGGAAAGAAAGAGGGAGAACAAAGATTCTATGAATTACAAATTACAGGTTTCAATTCTGGTTCTTCCATGAATGTCCTCTTTGGACCCGAGCTTCCTTATCTATAAGACAAGGGGGTGTCATTCCAGACTCATTACATGGTACATTTTGTGTTCTCTACTTCTCAGCCCAACTTGCCTATTTGTTATTTCCTATACTCAGTATTTTTATACTATATATTCCTATAATCAGTTATCCTCCATTTTACAGTTGAGGGAATTGAGACACATTACTATAACTTGCCTAAGGTCACACATCTAGTAAGTGCCTGAGGCTGGATTTTAGTTCAGGTCTTCCTGACTCTAGACTAAGCATTCTATCTACTAACTGCTTGGAGAGCCATGATGGTAACAGGAACTATTTGTACTTCTAAATATTTAAGCCATACCCAATATAAATACAGGTCATCAGAACGCTTAGTATCTTGATAACATTATCTCACTTCTGAAGAATGCCTCCACTGGGTTGTTGATTAATATGATAACAGTTAAGGGACAGTCAACATAAGAAGCTTTCATTGGATAGGATTTCTGTGTCTTTCTTTTTTTCATTAATTAATTCACTCATGATTTTGAGTTCCAAATTTTCTCCCCATCTTCTGTGCTTTTTCTTTACAGCTTTTAAAATTCTATTTATTAACAGAATTCTATTTCCTCAGTCCCACCTTCTCACCACATTGGAAAACAAAAATTCCTTGTAACAAATATGCATAAATCATACTTGACAACATTTTCTGATGCAATACAATAAATTCTTTGGATTTACTTCCAGGAAAAGTCTGTCTGTGTAAACAAACATGAATTTTTTTTTAGCTAAACAATGATTATTAATAATAACAAGATTTACATAGAACTTTAAGGTTTGCAAAGTATAAAACTATGTCATTCAATGAAAATCTATGAAATCCAACTTATGTTCTTTTTTTTAATTGCTGCTGATAAAAAGAAAAATTGTTGCCAAGCCATCATAATCAGTACATGACAGGTACTTGCTAAAATCCATTGGCTCACTCTTCTCTTTTCAGATCATTCCTTTTCTGTTTTTATTCTTGATTATTCTGTCTTATCAACCTTTTGATTTTGTTAAGTTGCTTCAAATAGTTTTAGAGATAGAGTCATAGTTGTATATAGACTGTCATGCTAGTGACCACGAACAGATGAAAAGTTCTAAATACATGAATGAATGTTATACGTACTTTAATGAATCTATGATCTGATGGAAAGTGACGATCATAACCCATGTAGAACCCAGCTTTGCAGCTTTTATTTGAATCTTCATATCAGTCCTATTGAGGAGATTCCCCAACATTCTGGAACTTTCTTCTATGTCAAGTGATATTATATGGAGCACACAAGTTGTCTGTCTCTTATCCTTCAGTCTTACTGCATTACAGGCCTTCCTCCTTTTCCAAACACTCATATTTTTTATAATATATTTTCCAGCACTTCCTGCATGCAAATATTTTTCACTGGTAATGTGCTACATCTTATTCTTATCCACTATGGTTCTTTTGTTGTTGTACAGTCATAACTGATTCTTTGTGACCCATATTGGGTTTTCTTGGCAAAGATATTGGAGTGCCTTGCCATTTCCTTCTCCAGCTCATTTTACAGATGAGAAAACTGAGGTGAACAGGGATAAGTGACTTATCCAGTGTCACGTAAGTGTCTGAGGCCAGATTTGAACTCAGGAA